AGCTCTTGACAGAAACTGCTCTTTTTTCAAGGACAGCTCTTATCAGAACTACGGCTTGCCCAAGGTCATCCAGCAGATGCAAGTGGAGGAAGAAGAAGAGATTGGATTTATCCCCCGCCCTTCACTACCAAAAGGTGTCTCAGGGCAGCTTACAAACTCCTTTCCCTTCCCCTCCCCACAACAGACACCCGGTGAGGCAGGTGCACTGAGAAAGCTCTTGACAGAAATGGCTCTTTTTCAAGAACAGCTCTTATCAGAGCTACGGCTTGCCCAAGGCCATCCAGCCAGGTGCAAGTGGAGGAGTGGGGAATCAGACCCGGTTCTCCCAGATTAGAGTCCGCGCACTTAACCACTACGCCAAACTGGCTCTCCAGTTTCAGTTAAAAAGACCAGGTAGTGGGCATTGAGGAAGACCTCTGCCTGAGACCCTGGTGAGCCATTGCCAGTCGAAGTAGGCAGTACTGGCCTTGATGGAATTCAGTGGTCTGATTCTGAATCAGGAAGCTTCAGGTGTTCGTGCATCTTCCTGATCTTCTCAACGTGTTGCCTAGAATACAGTCTTCATATCACTGTGATGAATATGGAGCTTGCATAGGGTTGTCGGGTCCTGCTTCCTCCCCAGCAGGGAACTTTGGGAGGTGTTCCTGGAGGGGGAGGGGATATCCCCAACGTGATGTCATCACTCAGCAGTGACATCATCCCATTGGGGACGCGCCTGAGGAGCGCAGATGTGCGGCCGGCAGCTGCCCTTCTCCCTCCCCTCCTGCCAGATTGAAAGGGCCTTCCAGCTGATTGGCGGGCCATGTGCGCCCACCAATCAGCTGGAGAGCCCTATAAATCGGACAGGAAGAGAGTGAGAGGGGTGGCCATTTTTGGGAGCAGGGCTTTCCATGTTGGCCAGCCGGCCGGCAGTGAACAGGAGGCCTCAAAATCCGGGGGGGGGGGGGACGGGGACTGGCATCGCTAAGCCTGGCGTTTCCTACATGCAAAGTATATGCTGTGTAGCTAAGCAGTGCTGTCCCTCCAAAGAAAGGGACCCCCCCCATTTACTGCCCAGTTTATGAGGGTTCTTGTGAATGACACTTAAGATGGATCACTATGTGACGCACTTTTCCTGGGGGCTCGGGGGGAACCCACCCGCGGCCGTGGCGCCTGGCTTCCCGGCGGGTGAGGCGACGTCGGGAGTCGGAGGAGGTCTGCAAAAGGGAGCTGAGCCAGGTCCTCGGATAGGCAGGAGACGGGGTTAACAGCACCCCTCTTGTCCCTCTGTGCCATGCGCAAGATACTGCTCTCCCTCTTCTCCCTAGCCGTCCTTAGCAGTTTCGCTCCCTCGCACGCTGTTCCTCCCCGGTCCTTCCGAAATGCTCCTCTTTTATTTCCCCTCTCCAGTCCCGACACCGCCCCTCAACCCTGCCTCCCCGCCTCCCAGCTTGGCCCCACCCTCCTTTATAATCACGGACGCTCCCTGGGCGTCTGGGGTGTGGTTGCAGGTGAGCCGGGGGGGCCCAGGGACCGTGCTGCTGCCGCCGCTGTTCGGTCTCAGCTTTCTTTCAGTGGGACCGGAGTCTCGGCTCCTGGCGTGGGTTCGGCGTGGTGCTCGCTGAGAGGGTCTTGACCTGCCGGCGTTGCGATCTGCGCGCGAGCCGCGGGGAGCCGAGCTGTTGGCCCCGCTTCCTTCGGGGGCTGCGGATCCATCCGTTCCCTGTTCCTCGGCGGTTGTTGGGGTGAGTTGGGGTGCGGGTGCGTCTCCAGGGGTAGGAGGTCTCGTCTCGGGACAGGGGAACCGGGACACACCGCTTCCAGTCTAGGGGGCCAATCAGCACCTGGGTGGTGCTTTGTAGGAGTTGGGAATTACTTACCGCACCGTCTTGACTCAGGTCTGCTCCTCTGATCAGATGCTCCCGGATGCCGATGCATGCAACCACATCTTGCCCCGTGTGCGTCGGAACAGGCCAACATTGCAAAGGGCTGGTTTGAAAGGCGGTCTTGGAAGCTTGAAACTGTCTCCACTTTCAGCTAGCATTTAGATGCCCGGACCATCCTTGGCACAGGCCGCTTGGTAACCCTTCTGCCAAGAGGACTTTGCCCATTGAGCTGTGCCAGTGAAACGGTTTTGCTGTTTACTGAATCTGTGTGGCTTCTCTGTTATCCTGTCTCTGAATGCTTTAGAATTATTCACAGGCCAGTGGGCCCCCTTCTCTGGGAAAATCGTTCGGCTCTGCCACCGTTCCTGGTCCCGCTCAGGAAAACTGGTGGCTGTCCAGGTCTCCCCACCCCCTGGGAGGCAGCAGGGGAAGCTGAATCAAGCCAGGGCTGTTTGATCACTTGTGATAGTGGGAAGATAAATCCCATGCGTATCATAGCTTTTTTCACATGAGGACTCCTCCTTTCCCACCCTCCCAGCCTACTTACTAAAAGCCCACCAAAACCTCAGAATCCACCACCGACAGGTCCTTTTCTGTCTATGGGCTAGCTCCTGTCTCTCTGCTAGAGTTGTGTGAAGGCCTGGGGGGGGGAGAGGTTTTTTGGGGGGCATTTTCTCCATTTTTCCTCCTTCAGGGGACTTGCCTTCAGTTTTTGCAGTGGCAAACATGGGAAATGTCGGGAATGAGTGAAAAAAAAATGTTTGTATTGAAATAATTACGAATGAAATGAAGCAAGATCTTATGAGGTGTGGTTTTATTCACTCAAGAGCGTATCGCATGAAGACATTTATGAAAGACAAACTGCAGCGATAGGTAATAATAATCCCTACGTGTGCTGTAAACACGAGCAACATATTTTCAGAGATATGTTTATGTTCTAAATGTGAATGTTTTTGGGAACAATTAATATTCTATAATGTGCTTGATAGCACATCATTAAAGAGTTCAGCATTTTCTGCATTGCAAAGCTTACCTTGATGTCTAAATACGCCGGCAATTTGACCGTTACTGCTTCTGTCTACATTTTCTTTACTGCAAAAGCTGTTTCATGGTTTCTATAATAAATGGAGGTCACACGGATGCTAAAGCAATACAAGTGTATTTGCTGGCATGGGTCATCGGATCCCCCAGCTGTGCTAAGGGGGGGCAGAGTGGCATTTTTAGGGTGATGCATGACCGGGGAAGATCCACTTCTCTGATGGAGAAGCCGTCTGTCTCCTCCAAGGGGCCGAGCTCAAATTATCAGAACACCAAGTGAGGGAGATGTGGCCAGAAAACCTCCGACCTGTAACCGGGGATACAATTGACAAATTGGTTTTTGGCAGGAGCTGGCGACTAAGCCCCCTCTCCAGTTGTCACAGGTTCAAAACAAGGGGAACATTCAAACCCACAACCCTAGATAGAGGGGGGCAGATGCAGGATACATGTCCCTGATTTTACTCTGGAGTTCAGGCCTTCTGTATGCAGAGCGGATGATATGCCTTAGTCACAGCCCCTTTATGTGTGCAGCGGGTACCAGGTTCAATCTCTGGCATCTTTACCTGAGAACCTCGAGAACTATTACCAGCCTGAGTAGACAATACTGACCTGGATGGACCAATGATCTGATGCAGTATAAGGCGGTTTCAGGTGTATGGTGGCTTGCTCCTCCTCCTCCTCCTCCTCCAGAGGCAAAATAACCATAGCTGTACGTAGTATCATGTGATGAGGACTGAGTGTCTCCCATTGACTAGGAAACTGGCTGCTGAAAGGTGCCTCATTCCCTCATTTTCTCTTGCACCAGTTGCTGATGGGCAATTCCTCTGGCTTGTTTAGCTCCCTGGCAGCTGAGCTGTATTTCCTACTCCAGTGTGCTTGATAAATCCTTCAAAGCCTGACCACGGGAATGTTATCTTAGCCAGCTAATATCTGTTCATTAGTGGCTGGCCTCCAGCTTGGACACTTCACCTGACAGATTCCAGGAGGTTTGACTAATGTCAGTGGCATAAAATCTCAGGGAGGAAAGTTATCAAGCAGCCTTGGAGCTAGCCTGTTTTACGCCCATCCTTGCTGGCAACCATCTCTTCTTCCCACAGCCATTTGGATCCAGTTAATAGGGTTTTGTCTTCAGCAGATCTTCACCCAGTTTGAATTTCTATTTGTCAGTGTTCTCCTCCTCGCCACTGCCCTCTTTGCTTGTGTAAACTAACCCTCACCTCCCCATCTGATGTGCTTGTTACAGGATTCAGGGCTGGTAATTATGGGGTGGCTTGGGATAAAGCATCAGAGTTACCATCTTTGGAGATAGATCAAGATGGGTAGCCATCTGACCTAAAAGTAGCAGATATCTTACAAAGGAATTTCAAAGGGAGATTAGAAAGAGAGACTGCTGAATTGCAACTGATAACGAAGCTCAAGACAATGCATGTACCTGGACTGAATAGAAACCTAGGTTTCCTATCCTTACCAGTGCTGATTTCTCCATGCCTACTACACTTGAGCTGCGGTGGCTCAAGTGGTTAAGATGCTGAACTGCAGGCTGTGGAAGGTTGGTAGTTCAGCAGTTCGAGACCGGAGTGTGCCGCATGACAGAGTGAGCTCCCGTCTCTAGTTCCAGCTCCTGCCAACCTAGCAGTTCGAAAGCAAGAAATTGCAAGTAGATAAATAGGTACCACTTTGGTGGGAAGGTAACAGCATTCTGTGCATCTTGATGTTTAGTCATGCCGGCCACATGACGTCTTCGGACAGCGCTGGCTCTTCGGCTTTGAAATGGAGATGAGCACCACAACCCTAGAGTCGGACTCGACTGGCTTTCGAGCAAGGGAACCTTTACCTTTACCTTACTACTTCTTTGCTTATCATACCTAATCTGATCACCCTCACACCTAATCCAGTCACAGCTTCTATTGTCATTTGCCTGCTAATGTCATTTGAAATCACTCACTTTCCAATATATACGGCAGATGGACTCACATTCTAGCTGTATCCGAAGTTGTTGCTGTTCAGTCGCACAGTTGAGTCCGACTCTTCAGTGACAAAAGCTAATAAGCTGCCACAAATTTTCTTAGTCGTTAAAGTGCTACTGGACTCTTGCTCTTTTCTACTGCTTCTTTGGAGGAATCTTTTCTGGGAGGGAATAATGGGATCCAGTTTTTCTGAGGGGAATAATAGAATCCAACCCGATTTCTGCAGCCATCATGGATGCACAATGGCTCTTGTACATTCTTCAACAGGTGTTCTATGAGCTCCGCAGTCTCTCGCTCTCAGGCCACGCTGCGAAGATCATTGGTTAATGAACATGATTGGATGCGGTCTCTTTGTGACTTCATGTTTAATTAACATGTTGAGTATTCACTTGCTAGTAATCATTAACAATTACTTGGTGGTGATTAGAGATATAATTTGGAGGTGCTGTTTTGCTGTTGCTTCTTATTGTTGATTTTGTTGACTTCTGTTTTATAGCCCTTCCTGGTTTATTATTGGAAACAACTTTGGAGGGGATCCCTCAGTGGCGAGAGATGGACCATGAAATATTTTCCGTCAGTCTCATTTTCATATGGAGATTTGTATACTTGAAACATGCTTTACAGTACCAGTGAACAAAACATAGAGGAATTTCACATTACCCTTTTTAACCCGTTTTGAAGTCGTTTTTGATCCGTCATGGAGTAAACCGGTATAAGGCTGCCATTTCAGACTGCACCCCTTTTTCTTGCTTTTTCCCCACTCGATCTCCAGCTTTTTTTTTTAATGTTCACTTTAGAGAGCTATAGCGCTATAGTGTTATAACACAACACTCCAGGAATTCCAATGGCATTGATATGATGCTGTACCGGAGATCGCCTGTGCGGGTGAAAAACGGCGGGGAAAAGCGCATCGGAACTGGGAGAGGAAACTGAAGACTACTTGGAAGCGGTTGACAGGTGAAACATTTCAGCCCCGTTTCCTAAACGGGACAGAAGCATTTGTGTGTGAAATTATAAATATATTCTGGTAGGGAAACTGTTCTAAAACGGTTCTGTCTGAAATGACAGACCAGAAACTGTTTGGGAACCGTTCCTCTTCCGGATTATATCGTCTGTCTGAAATTCCTCACATATATTCAATCAGCAGTCTTCCTGTGATTCCGAAATTCTCTTTAGAAATGAATTTTTCCACATAAGCACCTGAAACTGGCCGATTAGTCTTGGCCAAGCTTCTGCGAATGGTGAATGTTTATAGTTGTGTTCTAAACCCAGGAGATTATGTGTTGATAATATAGCAATGACTCCAAAGAGATTATCGTGCGGGAGGAACTGTGGAGATTTTTTACAGATATGTAATGAGAATGGGGATGCCGCCGTTATTACTGGGTCTGTGTCAAGGAAATATATTACCTTTTCTGAGGGCAGGAATGGGACTCAGTATTTCTGTCATGAACCATCTTATGGAGTCTGACATATTTACTTGGGTCTCTTCAGAACCATGGATTTAAATTCGGCCTAACAAACATATCTCTTCCTGGGGAAAGCAGAAGGGCTTCTTCTCTTTGAGGGTGCACCGTAAAATGCCCGTGGCAATGAGGAGTGCCATTTGCCAAGCAGGAC